TCCAGCCAAGCACCTCCGGCACCCGAGCTGCTTCAATACCGCATTTACGAGCGCGGAAAAAGCAAATATTTGAGCAAACAACAGCACAAACGGAGCAAAGGGGGAAAATCGTTCGGGTGAAAGTGCAAACAACAAAAACGATGAGCCATTTAACTCGATTCCCATGAGATTTTCTACCCTCTTTTTTTCCCCTCCAATTTCCAATACGCCAATACACTTTCTAAACTCTACTACACATACATACTTTTTTCACCGTGGTAAGCCTATATCCCGTTGCCGATTGAAAGCCACACCAAAGAGTTATTTGTTCATGAAAGTTTGCACGAAAAATCGGCAAACCTCCCCTCGGATAAACAAGACTCGTCGCGCTCGGCCCTTCCGGTCAGTACCCTCGGGAGCACCGCGAGTCTTAATTACCGTTCACGGATTGGTGCCACCGGCAGCCTCGCTCTTTGTGCATCCGCACCACATGCACCCAGAGAAAAGACGCTCATTTCCGCGTCCTCGACCCTATATAGCGTCGTATACAGCCTCGCACACGTGCTATACTCGTAGCGATGAACGACGTTCATTGCGAATACACACAGGAGGGTACGTGCGGTGTATTCCTGCGAGAGGTCAGTGTGCCGCGTGCGGTCATCGATCGACGCCTCTCTATGCACGCGAATGGCGTCGGCGACTTGTCGTACACAATACCACCCGATGAAATATATTTCATCGCCAGAAAAATTATGCAACATTACATGCACGTGCCTGCGATACAACTGAGATCGGCAAAATGCGTACAGTGAGAGGGAACGAAAGGGGTTGGGGTGTTGCCGATCGAACTCGGTCCAAAGTGCCATAAAACTCATCGGCACCGCCGAGGAGGGAAATAAACGCCCGAAGCGCGGAAAACGCGTGATTAAAAGTAACGACGGCCCTTACGGGTAGTGCATTTTTTATTTTCATATACGTGCAGCCTCGCTGCGAGAGAGAAGAAAATGAACTGGAATCGGAAAGGGGAGAGCTCGTAAATATTTAATTGCACCGTATAAAAGTAGAGAGAGAGTCTGTCTGTTTGTGCGCAAGTGGCGGACCGAGAAAGTGCTCTGTGGAAGACAATGAAGAGAGGCAGCCTGTGCCTTTGTTTTTATCCTCTATACTATTTATATATATGTGTGTGTAGCTTACAGTGGCAGCCGAGAGAGAAATCGCTATCGGTATTTTATCGGTCCCTTTCTTTACTCTCGACTTTCGATCTACTGTTTTTTTTTTCCTTCTCACTTTGCTCTCTCTCTCTCTCTCTCTCTCTCTTGTGTTTTCAGTGTTTCGTCGAATGCGAATATTAGCGATCGAGTTACCGCGCGAATGGAGCGAGTCTGCGATTATTGATTGGCTGTTGCATAAACACTGTGCACATTACCTTCGAAACTGTATAACCGTGCGCTGGATGAACGCAGTAAGTCGAGAACAATTGGCCTAACAATCGCATGGATGTGTATATACTCGTCGATTCGGGAAACTTGGCTTTTACGAGAGGAATTTGGGGTTTCGTTCGGTACACTCGTGGATGCGCGATCACATTAAATGTTCGTTTGCATTTATCAAACATCCGCGCTGAATAGCTCCGATATTAGTTTCTCTTGTTTCGATGCATACAATACACGTGCAAATTGTATATTGATCGATGATTTTATCTTATTGGATAACATTAGATCTCGGGTATATAGGATAACTCGGCACGTCGTGCCGTCTCTGGAGATTAGATGAAGCGTCATTCGCGAAAGACAATAATATTGGAGCATATACGTATAGCCAGTGGTATGACAATGGAAGAGGGTTACTGTTTTATGATTTTTATTCCTAAAATTATATGTAAAAAAAAAGAAAGGAAATTTAATTCAATCAAGATTCAAATGATGCTGGCTCATTAACTTTTGGTGGAACTTTCGTTGAAAATCCATGGAAATATTTTTCCCGCAAATGTGTTACGATAATTGACGCTGCAGTGGGTTGAACTTCCGGTACGTTCTACGAGTGGGACGTGTTCTGATTGCGACGAGAATATTTTGCTCACCATTTTAAAATCTAGCATTGTACCAAATATTCATAATAAAATCTGTTAAAAGAACCAAGTTTTATAATGAATCAAAAAAGATTTTACGTGTGTTTTATCGAACTACGGCTTGCATAGATAATATGATCATATGTATTTTCAATGCTTGGTATTTGTTGTAAAAAAAAAATAATGAAATTCAAGTCAAGAGTCAATACAGCATGCGCATGACAAATTCGAGTAACAAGATCTATATATATGTAAGCAACGCTCGATTGGAATGGAACGATGGAAGGTATTGTTTTCTCTGGACAAACATACCCACAAAAGTGTTAACGATTGCACGAACTGTCGTGAGAAACAGGTGTCGCGTGAAGGTGTACACAAGTATGTACCTACATTATACTTCTCTCTAACATTGTTTCATAAAAAAAAAGAAAAAAAAACGTGGACCCTTGCTCTTGTAAATTCGAGGTGTAACGATGCATTCAAAAGTTTGCGATTAAAGTAAAGCGAAAGTTAACTCGCGTGATTAGTACACTAATGAGAGAATAAAATTGAGAAAAATGTATTATATCGAGTAATGAAAAAATTGCAAGACAAAATTTTTAGTTGCACACGCGAATGAAAAATATTTTTTAAACAAAAACGATTTTTGTCTGGCAATACTTGAAGTTGACTGAGAGAGAGAGAGAAAAGGGTGAAGGAGAACCCTCTTTCTCGCGACTTCTGCTTACATGTGTACACGGGAGATCAGGTTCGTCCCGAGACGAAGGGATTTCTCGACTTTGTATGAGGGTAGATTGGGTGGTCCGAGGGTGGTTCTTACGTTATTTGACGTTGGCGAAATTTTACGTGTTGACTTCATTTAAGGAGCAGAACAACATGGCCTTTTCAATGCATTTTTATTGATAAACTTTTTCAAAAACAACGAATTTTTTTTTTTCCTGGTGATTCTTAATTTTAATTCCGTCGCAGTTTCATTGATATATATTTGTATGTGTATTGATATTGCGAATAGGACTTTGTATTTTCAGTTGTCCTGATACAAATTGATGACTAAAATACATATGAAATGAACAGTATATATATATGTATATTTATATATTTATATGGATATATATTTTTCTTTATGTACAAACATTTCGATCGATCGATTTCGTGACTATTAGATTGATGCATGAAAGTGTTCGAGTGCTTAAGTATGTGGGTGTAAAATACATAATTAATCTATGTATGATTCAAATACTATGGGCAATCAATTTTACTATATACGTGATATGCAATAATATTGTTACGATGGTCTATCTACGTCGTCGTTTTTTTGATGCTGAAATCGTGTAAATTTGCTGCTCTAATTTAAAAAATTCATTAACATTGTAACTATTTTTGCTTGAATCTACAAAAAAATTTGTCAAAGCGGACTAAAATGCTTACGTGTTGCGAGTTGCGAATTTGTTCATTACTTTTGTACAATTATTCACAATGTGATCCTGATTCACAGGGAGAAGTGAATAAATTGACCAATACTCCTTTCTGACCCGTGTATAGTTATGGAAATTTATCCCAGAGAATTCCGTGAAATTTTTTTCAAAAACATTTTGTCACGTTTAGTTCATACAAAAAAAAAATTATGAAAAATTGATTGTGCTGATTTTTCATCAACGAAATTCGCTTCTCCCTGCACGCATCTATTACTTTTTGCTTCTAAGAATGATTGAGTCACGAGTAATGTATGTGTATTCATGCATCTATCTAATTATCGTCTACAGAGTATGAAAATTCGTTCAAATCGCATATCACAGCAAAAAATATCATTGGTCAGACGTGTTAATTTTTTCGTGTATTAAAAATTAAAAAAAACGTGTCGACTAGTTAACATAAAAACCACAGCAGATTATTGAAAATACGTTCTTGTCTCGTTCGAAAATATGCTTAATAATGGCTTTATTCAGTAAAGTTAGTTACTATCGATTTCTGTTCGATAATTTAATAAATTATTTCCAATTAACCGTAAGTTATTGAATCTGATCATAAAAATATGTTACGCGTAGCGGGTAAATCGTTCGGTGCGGTACAGCGAATTATCACAGATAAAACAATTTTCAAGAGCCATTAAGTATTCAGTTCTCGCGGCTGTTGCTTCCATTTGCATGGAATTTTAATATAGCTCAAATTATTACGCAAGAAACGAAGAAAATGTTAAAAACAATTTACTCATTTTTTCGATACAAATATATACCTACTCAACGTTCAAAATAAAATTTCTTAGGAAATATAAAAAAATACAAGTATTTTCACCGACTAATGAGTCAAGTTTCGCGTGGAAACCCGTGCCGAAACAAAATTAATTCTCGACAGAAGAGAAAAATGTAAAAAACAAAAAGCCAAATAAAAAGACATACCTAATAATTTTTATATAATAATAGTGTACGTGTGGTGTACTGTGTAATATACAGATATATAAGTATTTATTGCGATACTTATATCGTATATAATATATACATCTGCAACGGTACATAACGTGTGCTGACAAAATAAAGAAAAAGTATATGATTACATTAATTTCTAGTTTGGGCGTAATATAATACTAGGTACATAATTTATGCGTGTGTAACAACGAGCCAGCATGTATATTTTATGACGAAAAAACTAACTGTAACGAAAACTAACTGACAACTATATCGTCTCGACGCCCCGGAAGAAGAACTCATTGTAAGTGCTGATTCACTTTTTGTTTTTTTTTTAATAAAAAAAAAAAAAAACTGTTTTAAAAAGGGGGTTTTTGGAGCGAAAAATTGTTTTCTGGAAAAATATCGATGGGTATCGAAAAATCGAGTGAAGGAAAAAAACCGAAAAGAGTAGATTCCGGGGCGTCGAAAAGCTCAGTCAGTCCTGGCTGACGATGCGAAAGCCACCCTTGTACTTGCACTCGCCGACGTAAAAGCATAACCACCAGTACCTAAGATCGTTAGGCCTCGTAGTAGTGGCCGTGGTGCCGGTGGTGTTGGACCTCGGTATCCTCCGAGCCGACGAGGCGGCCGACATCGTCGAGCTGGTTATTGTCGGGGCCTGTTGGTGGTACCTCCTCGGCGGGGGTGGCGGTGGACACCTGCAGTCGCAGTGCCAGACGCACAGTACCGCAGTGGTGGCCAGCGTCATGACCAAGGGTATGGCGAAGTAGTGCATGATCACCGTGACCTCTGCGTCCCTGTCGTACTCCGCCATGACGATGCTGCCGTTCACCCGGCTGTAGTAGCACGGAAACTGCGAGCCCTCGTACCCTAGCTCCCGCGTAAAATTCTCGCAGTCGACCGCCGGGGGGTAGCCGCAGCCCTTTATGTTCACCAGCAGCACCGCCTCGACCACTTCGGTCTCCTCCATCTTGGTCTGCCGATACTGCGCGCTCGTAGCAGTGGTGCTCCGTGGGAGGGTGCCATTGTGCCGTTTTGTTGTCTCCCCGTCGAACAGCAACGACTCCGCGCTCGCGTTGCTCCACGGGCTGTAGGTGACGTAGATGTGGGTGCACCGGTACACCTCGCTGGTGCAGCCTGTATCGTTGTTTCGGGCATTTTATGCAACAATCGTCAAACGCAACAAGTGCGCGCAAGCGTGTTACTCAAACTCTCTGCGCTTTTATTTTATACATATACACGTTTGAGTTGAAGTAACCCACTTGGATAAAGCGCGAGGTATACACCTAATTCGCGCACCGAGCGTCAAAAAAAAAAAAAATAAATAAATAAAATAAAATAAAAAGTATGCGAATGAAATTACCCTCTCGGCAGGAGCTCCAGGTGCAGTTGAACAGTCCCCAGAGATCCTCGCGCTGTTTGAGATGGTGCAAACGGACGATCGTTATAAAATTGGGCAAGAAAAGGACAAGAAAAGAAAAAAAAAAAATCCAAGCGTTGGGTAGTGGTGTGTACCTTGGAGGTCGTGCAGAGCACCGGCTCGGGAAAGAAATCGGCAATGAGGGTACTGATGGCCGGGTCGACGTAGAGCGGGACGAGAAAAAGTAGGGCGCAGCCCCCGGAGATGGCGACCATGGCGAGGCTGGAAGTCGCGTAGAAGGCGAGCCTCTGGCGGCAGGTGCGTCGTTGGCTCTTGTCCTGGTGCTTGCGGCCACCCGGGCCGAGCATTTTGCGTCGCTCGAGCTCGTCCCTGAGCATCTGCCGGCACTTGGCGTCGAGCAGCAGCTCCGAGCTCCCGGCCGCTTGCATGCCGGCCCTGGGCCCCGCGGGGCTAACCGCCGGGCACACGGCGCTCCGGGACTTTTTCACGCGCACGGGCGGCATCGTCGCCGAGGTGTACTCCGGGAAGATCCTCGGCGACCCCGGGGCTGTGACCTCGAAGCAATCCGGGCCGAGTTAGGATCAAGAGCGCCGGCCCCTTTTCCTGCGGTTGCCACCGCGCGTCGCTACGTCTTGACGGGGGTTGGGCCCGTGGCGGTTGTGCACCTGGACCGGTGGCTCCTCGACATCCGTCGGCGAGGCGAAGCGCGTTATCACCGTCGACGTCGACGGCCTTGGCTCCCGACCGCTGCCACCTGCTCTCGGATCTGTTGGGGATCTAAAGGAGGACTCTTGCATGGCCGACTAGGAACTACACAACCAACCGGCCGATCTCTCTTTGACGATTCTGTACCAACGACCGATCGTATACTATATCGCCACTGAGCAAAAGACTGCACTTGGGGCGTACGATGAATATTATTAGAATACTGGTACGGTCGGATAGTTTGTCCTCGCAAAACGATTTTACTTTCGATTTTCACTCGACTCGCTGCCGATCGGTATACTTAAACGACGCGGACAAAGATCACTTTGATTCGAGTAAGGTACCAACGACGGCTCAAATACGTATTTGACAGACGAAAGTACAAGTTAAACGATCTCTTCTTTTATCGATCTTGAAATCTCGAGGAAATCGGGTCTAACGTAGAGTGGAAATCGGATGGGTGGGACTAATGTATGCACACTGTTTGGGTTGAGGGACCGGGAGGGAGCTGCCGGGGATGCTTGGACCTACTAGGATCTCCGAGTCGTGCTTAGGCCATTTTGACACTTTTTCGAGCCACGGATGAAGAAACACCCAACTACCGGACTAACCCGTACACGGGACTCGACGCTTTGCTGTACACGATCTTTGTGTATATATACACTTTCCTATTGGCTGCTGAGTCGATAACTCGGTTGTTGGCGATTGCCGGTTGTGACGTTGGCTGACGTGTATTCGTCGGACTAGCTTCGCGGATCGCGGGCTTAAGCGCGACTGAGTGCACCGACTTGGGTAGCGCGTGCAGCGGCTAAGCCAAACCTCGCCCTCTGCGCCTCGTATACATGTATACACGCGCTTCGTCGGCTGCAAGGGCGGGGTTCCAGGCGCGCAGACTCGCGTTACGAGAGAAAAGGCGCGTCGTTTCGCGGCCGAGGGAGGGGAGCGAGGCTTTTGGTGCCGATTGTCGGGGCTTTCCTCGTAGGGGATGAAAGGGTGGATTTTTTTTTTCTCGGGCGTATCGTTTCCGCACCACCTGGGAGGTAGATACGTCGGCGCGCTTTTTTTTGAGTGGTCTCCCCTGTAGGCCTACTCCACTTTGGGGATCCATTGTGTACATACAGTTTTTGGTTTTTGGTTTTTTTTTTTTTTTTTGCCCAAAGAGGAAAACAGAGACATTTATTTTCTTGAAAACACCTGGACCCGAGGTGATGAGCACACGCTTCGTAACTTTTGTGAAAACTGCTTTCTCGAGTCTATACCTATACATAGTGTGCTCAAGGGGCGCGTAGGCTGACTCGCGGGGGTTGTTCAAATACCTCTGCTTTTTAGCCAACAATTTTTGGTACATCGCATGATCAAGCCAATAAGTATATATAACATTTGAGCTCGAAATTTTCGTTTACAAGCCTTGTTGTTTGGTAAGCCTTTGTTTTTTTTTTTTTTTTTGTTTTTTTTTCGTTGCTAGGAGAAAAAAAAGAAAATTAAATAAGTCTTATAAGTACTTACAGCGAGTGGCCTCCCTCGGCTGGCTGAAGACGGCAAAACCATCCCTGAAACGCTTTGGGTGTCCACCGGCGCAGTGCTCGCCCAACGGCAGTCTAATTGCAGTTTTGTCGTTCCTTCGTGTTTTATACACGTCCAGGGAAAGGCTCCGCTCTGTGCTACAATTATTTTTATGGCTCTTGTTCTGCCGTTATTACTGGACTCTCACTTTATTTGATGGTTGTCAATGTTTATTACAACCAAAAGGTTTGGCAGTAATTTTTATTTTTTTATTTTTTGATACTGACAATATTAAATCTGCTCTTTGTTATAACGTTGTAGCTACGATTTTTTGTTTTTACTTGTGTATTGTGTACTGTTTGAGTGTATGATAGCTCAAAATTTTTAAGTATAGTTCTTTACACTGAAAAACGTACTTTTACTTATACTTACCGTATTTTATTTTTTCAACAGTTATCATCATTTGAGTAATTATTCTACAAATATGTACATTTTTAAATGTATTTCTTGGAACGATTTTACATAAATTTATGACGTGATGCCATTTTTAGTCAAACTTTGGTCTGGAAATCGAAAAAATGTGTTATCAAACAAAAAAAGTTCTTATTTAAAGAAATATTGAATTTTTTGACGAGTTTTAGTTAAACAGTTTAAAATCTTGACACACTAAAAAATGCATTCTCCAAAAAAATGTGTGGAAATTTCGTGGAAAATAATTATTAATATTTTATTACAACATCTTATCCAGTATGTCACACTCATGGAAAATTGTTTTGGTCAATACATTAAAAAACTGTTTAATTGTTTGAAAACAAAAATACGACGTTTTTTATTTACTACACAAAGTGGCATATACATAGCACTATTGATTAAAAATAACTAGTTTTTGAAAACAAAACAATTTACATATAAAAAAAAAAAAAAAAAAATCATTTAATTTTATTTAATGTAAATACCAATGAAATAAAGAGAAAATTCAGCTCACTCTTACATGTAATTCTTACGTAACTAACCGATTACACCTAGTCACGTACACACGCACGCATTCAGAGACGGCATATTTTTTTTTTTTTTATACAGTAATCCAAGGCAAAGAAAATTTTTTATAAGTACAGTAATCCAAGGCAAAGAAAATAAGTACACAATCACATTATTTTGTTACAACATGCTTCCTCTGTCCGCCCATTACAATGTTTCCTCTATGCAGAAACAATACGCATATTGCAAAAATGACGATAAATAAAATATTTATGGTTTCGGGCTATTTTCTCCTTATTCATCGAATCTTTAATTTCATTGGTAAAAACTATTGTCGCTTGCGCTCGTTAAAGTGCGAAATCAGCTTAATGAAAAAATAGTAATAAACTGCAACTTTCACTGACCGTTACTATGCTCTAAATTTGTACACTTGTCACTGACCGAATAATAACTTTTCTTTTCCTGTATTATTGTTATTATTAAGATTGCGTAAAAAAGAATTTCATTGCCTCGCTCGTTGCACTTTTTCGTAAAAAAATTTAGATGTTCGATTCGAATTTGGCGCGGTTTTCGAAATTCCATTCGACCAATGAAATCGCTGAACCAAGGAATGCTCCAGCTGTGACCGTCAGTGCGCACAAGTGACGCCACGTTACGCGTAAATATTTTGCTTTATCGTAATCAAAGAAATGCACGTGCTCGCACGAGTATATTGTTAAAAGTTAAATAAAAATTAGTCGTACGAGTGACCATCCTGCTTGATTTGCCCATTTCTCAATCAGTTTTACGCAAAACGAATAAAATTATTAGGTGATAAATAACCTGAGCTGAGTTAACTTATTATTATGAAACTGCGATTTCGACCAAACCAAAAAGTGTAAACTTTAAGAAAGATTTGGAAGAAAAGAGCATACCCGCCGGAGATGTAAGTATATTCCTGTAAATTGTGTATCATTGAAAAAAACAATTTGTTGAGCAACAAACGGCAAGTTGGTGAGCACATTTGACAATAGAGTCACACAAACGGTCACGATAAACTTTAATGATCATCCTGCCCCCTCTACAGATCCGGCTCCCCTCGCCTTCCGAGAGGCTTTGAACCAACGCGCTTGGCTTTAACGTTCTCTCTGCTCGCAAGCGTTCCCGAGGTCGCATCGATTACTTCTTCAGTCCCCATCTTTCATTGGAGGTTGGTGGACACGCTGTGAAATCGAGTGGGGCAGCCACTCGTCGAGAGCATCATCGCGTCGATCGTACATTATTAAAACGAGCCGAGTTGCTGAGGTAGAAGAAACGCACCACAATCATGGGCGAGGAAGCCGCCAACGTGAAGACCGAAAGCGCCAGTGCCCAGGACGGTCCTGAAAGTGGATCAAACCAGGGTGGTGGTGGTGGCAATCAGGGAGGCCCAGGAGGTAACCAGGGCGGCGGAGGTGGCAACCAGGGTGGCCCAGGAGGCAATCAGGGCGGCGGTGGTGGTGGTAACCCAAACCGTGGTGGACCTGGAGGTGGACGTGGCAATCGCGGTGGTGGCGGTGGTAATCGAGGAGATCGCAAAGGTGGTGGAGGCGGCTCGAGGTTTTCTGGAGGCGGACGAGGCGGAGGTGTCAATCAGGGAGGACGCGGAGGTCCTGGAGGCAACCAAGGCGGATCTGGCGGCGGGATCATGGGCCCCGGAATGATGAACGACATGCAGGTGAGTCTATCAGTGTATAGTACTAAAAAAGAGGTTATGTAAACGTGTGTTGTGTGTACACATTGCCAGGTACACGTTAAACGTTGTACTTTAAAAGTTTTTATACACCTAGTCTTCTTTTTTTCATTTCGCACTTTCGTCCAATTGTTGAAGCTTTGTCTAAGTAAGCAGCGCGTGCTATGGAAATCTTGCAGTGTTGCGTAATACCTTGTAATATGAGTTAGATTATCGAAAATGATGCCTTTTAGTCATATGTACGATTGATTTCGGTAGTTCACGTTATCTCATCGCACAGAAACTTTCATCTCAAGGTTTCTCCCTAAATTCTCCGTCCTCAATGGATTTTGTGTAGGAGCATCGCGAGCATCGGAGCAACCTAATCACGTGCAGCCAAAACAGTCGATAGATCGATTGATTAGATAGTGTAGTCTTCATTACCTATATTTTAATACTAATAAATAATCCGGTTTGCAAAGACAATTAGTAAGTATAGTCCCGAATGCTCCGATCGTGTTCTACTTACGAGGAAATAAAATGGCGGCTGCTAGACGACTACGTCGGCCATGAGCTGTGAGCGAGTGAGCGTCGTGCCACCAACCATACATATAGGTATGGTAAACATGGCGGCGATGGTCTCTTGTAGTTGGCCTTGATCAGAATTGTCTGGCTAGTTGCGTTTAATCGACACGAGCTGACTCTTTATCAATCGACGACTTACGAACAGAATTTTATGATTTTTTTTATTTTACTGGTGCCTATGCGTAGTACGACCATTTTATTTATTTACTTATTTACGTAAATTTGATCACTTTCAAAGCATTTGTTAAAATCACAATGCTTTTGTTCAGGCTTAGACAAAATTTTTTACATCCATAAACGCATATGTGCGTTTACATCATACAAATTACAAATTCATTCACACACACTAATTGTTTGTGTTTGTGTTGTCTGTACGATTAATTATTGAAGGCTTAATCTTTTTGTTTCCAGATCAAAATGAGTGAATCGATGATAGAAAATATGATGGATGAATCAATGTTGGGCGGAGGAAGTGCTGGTGGACGAATGTCGGGTGGTGGACATATGAACAATATGAACAACATGAACAACATGAATATGAACATGAACATGAACAACATGAACAACATGAATAATATGAACAGAGGACAAAGAGGTGGTCGTGGTGGTGGTGGAGGAGGTGGCGGTGGTGGTGGAGGACCCAGAAACAGCTTAGGTGGTGGTATGCAAGGCAGATCACAAGATGAAAGATTAATGGAGCGTGTCATGTCTATATCTGGTCCTACTCATGAACTACCCCCCATTGACTTGGCAGAGAAAAAGTTTAGTGGAAGGAATCGTCTATACGTAGGAAATTTAACTAATGATATCTCCGAAGAAGAAATCCAGCAGATGTTTGGTCAGTACGGTGAAACTAGCGAGCTCTTTGTCAACAAAGAAAAGAACTTTGCTTTCTTGAGACTGGTAAGTTATCTTGTTACTTATTAACATCTAATTAAATCTGTAAAACACATTGAATTCTTATATGATTAAAAAAATTACCGTTTGAAAAATAATGATAATATTCTATGGCTGCATTCGTTATGATTAGGCTGATTAAATAAAAACTCAAGTTTCAGTATAGAAGTTTGTATTAACAGATGCAATTTGACTTCCTTTTCAGGACTACCATGCCAACGCTGAAAAAGCAAAACGTGAATTAGATGGCTCAGTTCGCAAAGGTCGTGTGATCAAAGTCAGATTTGCACCAAACTCGTCCATGATAAAAGTGAAAAATCTAACACCATGGGTGTCAAATGAGCTTCTTGCTCATTCGTTTGGTGTATTTGGAGAACTCGAGCGAGCCACAGTAATTGTTGATGACAGAGGAAAGCCCACAGGCGAAGGTATCGTCGAGTTTACAAGAAAACCTTCTGCTCAGTTGGCCCTTCGCAAATGCACCGAAGGCTGTTATTTCCTCACAACGTAAGTCTGCTAGCAAAATTTTAAAAATCATACCCCAACGCCACGCTTGTTTGATTGTCATATGATCTGCAAGTGCCATAGATTTTAAATCTAATGGGGAAGATTAAATAGAAATCCGGCTAGGAAGCATGGTTTGGTTTTTTAATGCCCATCCGTGTGCCGAAAGACTAGGATACAATTGATAAAATATTAACCAAATTATTTCCTCAGTTTAAGCGTACATATATTATGTTTGCAGGTCACTTCGTCCAGTTGTTGTTGAACTTTATGAGCCAAACGACGATATTGATGGCAATCAAGACAAAAATCTTCCAAAGAAGAATCCAGAGTTTTTCAAAGCCCGTGAAAATGGACCACGTTTCGCAGCCATAGGAAGTTTCGAACACGAATACGGCACAAGATGGAAGCAACTTCACGAATTGTACAAACAAAAAGAGGATGCTTTGAAGAGAGAGATGGCCATGGAAGAAGAAAAATTGGATGCTCAAATGGAGTTCGCTCGTTTCGAGCACGAGACTGAAATGCTAAGAGAACGTAAGTTTATTGGACCTCAACTAAGACTTTTTTGAAACTTGATTGATAAATTAACTCAGATTCACTAAGAACGATGTATTTGCAGAACTTCGTCTTCGTGAAGCCGATCGTGAAAGGCAAAAGCGCGAATGGGAGATAAGAGAAAGAAAAGCCGAGGAACAGAGGACTCGAGAAGAGGAACTCAGGCGACGACAAGAAGAAGAGATGACTCTTCGAATTAGGCGTCAGGAAGAGGAACTTCACAGACGACAGCAAGAAAATAATCTGTTCCAACAAGTCAGTACCCATTAATATACATTTTAAGAAATTGCTATTACTGTAGTTATGTATACTAAATTTAACGATTTTTTTTTTTTTTCAATCAGGAACAGGCTATGCGCTTATCGAGTGGCGCTAAAAATTTTGACGTTATTCCACCTGAACGTGATGGGTACCCACCAGTTGATGGTAACCTTTTTTTTCACTCTAAATGTTTCAATCAATGTCATTAGATACAAATCGTTTTATAACATTTTTTGCTTTGCTCTGTTTTTTTACAGGAAATAACTTGCCAGTGGTATGTACTCCTTTCAATCTTATTACTTACTAGTCTTGATTCCCAAGCCAAGTCAACCCTACTTTATTTATTTTTTTTCTTTTCTCCTTTAGACCTTAAAATCGAAAATATTAGTGTTTGCCAAAAAACTTATTAAAAGTTCACGAAATTGATAATTTAGGGGTGAATTATAATTTATGTGCATGAAAAATTTTTTTTTAACTATGTAAGCTCGAGATACTCTTATACTCTTAGAAAATACTCGTCCTTAATGAGAAGTTTTAGTATTGATCAAAGTACAGAATTTTGATGTCTGCATTTTTTCTTATACTATTGATCTTGACTTTTCAAATTTTAAAATTACTTATTAATCTTTATATATGTAATAGCTTAACACGTGGAGAAGTTGGTGAGCACCAACATTTGTACATAAACTATCTAATACGATGATTAGGGCAACTTCAACCTCTTTTTCAAGTGTAGCTCTATATGTAAAGGTTTTTTCTCTTCTAATACATATTATAGACTTGAGATTAAATTTTATACTTAAAGCTGACTATAGGTAGGCAACTAAGTTGAAACTTATCAAATCGTGGGTTCTTTCAAACTGCCATTCACGCTAAAACGTTCACTCTTGATATACCTTTTAGTATTAAATATTGGTCTAAAATTCTAATGCATCTTATTTGTACGCGTATGTTTAAATATACAGGTTATGCTAAGAATAATTAAAGTTTCAAAGGGCTCATGAATTGTGAAAACTCATCTGAAGTGTACTAAGATTATGTTAATTTTTCATTAAATAAGTATCTAGAGATAGAAAAAAATGCCTTACAGATTCTGTGATCTACATTGCGGCACATCTGACTTGATGAAAATATTGCAACTAATATCAATGCCTTGAATTCTTTTGTCTTGCTAAACTTTTCCACGTGTTAGCAGACTAGAAATTCTGTATATCGAAATTTATTCTGCATATTTCGTAACGAATACTATTAATGTGGAACTACGTTTAATTCAGTTAATGAATATCTTTAACCATCTTTTTTGTCGCTCTTGAGTTAATTGGAAAAATTTTGTTCCAAAAGTATTAATCTGTGATTCACGTTTAAAGCTAGTAGTTCCACACCTAATCCAAACAGACCAAGAAATGCCCAACTGCACGTCATTTGTGCTATTAAGTAAATACTTGTTTATAGTTTTTATCGAGTGAGGTACGTTTACTGTCAAAGTATTTGAAATCATACTTAAACATCTTATGCGTTTAATACTTTATTTATAACTGTAATTGAAATTGTTAGGCAGAAGCTATTAAAACCAATTGAACATTTTCAATTGTCATGTCGATTACCACTGTTTGTAATCATTAACATTGACTCATTCTTTATGAGCCAAAATCATAAGTTATGATAAAGGCTCTTCTATTTTAACTAGACCTCTGCCAAATTTTTTTTTTTTAACCGCTAAGTAATGTACATCTAAAAATTATGAAGAGTTTGCTTTGAGACCTTGATCACGCCTCATTGCATCTCGGATCGAATTTTTAGATTTTAACAGTTAATGAATGAAGCTTTTACTTACTGTTTCTAAGTGGCTACAAAGCAACTCAAATATTGAAATTCACTGTTTTTAGTGCTTTATATGTGACATATTATTCTACTCCTTAGTAATCAGCGAACTAGTGGACTCAAGATTTAGTTAACAATCATTCATACGATTGCAATGATAATACCTGCTCTAAAATACGACTAATTACGTCATAAGGAATTAATTTCTTTACTTACATTAAGTACATTTCTTTATGCTCTCCCAAACAAAGAAATTTTCTGAAGTGCATACTTTCAACAACTTGAACATGAATAGTTTACTTAGTAGTAATTATTGCAGGTCAAACTACGTTAATTACATTTTGATTCTTCATCGATGAAGTATGAAACTGTACGTCATACTAATTGTGCGTGTGGATTTTCATAAAAGGGGTGTAAAATTAGTAAAAATTGGATTTACCACCAATTGAAAATTTACGTACCTACTTATTGAGTTTAATATTAAGACGAGTTACCTCAAATTATTATCATGATCTACCCTAAACCTACTTTTCCTCTGATCTACTTGTAATAATTACAGCTTTAGACGATAAGGATTAATATAAAAAAAAATTAGTTTTCAGATCTCTATTATAATTAAGTTGGGTATTTTCTTGGTCTGATAAAAATTGAATTCTAGTCAGGACAGTACAAACAATATTGCAATATATGTATGCGTGAACTCAAAAGGGGTCGGCAAGACCTATTTTATACACACTATAAATACGAGAAAAAATGCTGTTTTTTAATTACATGTGTATTGCATGTGCTCGTGTTTAAATATGGCATTCGAAAACAGGGTACTTATGTTTTCAAATTCCTTATTTAAGTGCTTTGCTTTTGGTTATAAAGGGTTTTCATGGTTTTAGGATTTACTTCCATGGAATGAAAACTATTTTGCAAATGTGTAACAATTAGAGAACGCTTGACTTTAAAAAATGAGGGGAAACTGAGCATAAAATAAAAAAATAATTTCAGAAAAGGTTAAGCATCTAGGTAACTTCGTGTCTAATTGGCCCAGCACATCTTGAATACTTGTATTTGAAAAATTTTTATTTTTCGTATTTGCAGATTATGAATTCTTAAAGAAAGTTTTTAAATTGGGTAAAAGATATTATTCTTACTGTCATTCGTTAAGAGCATCATTTAATTTATTTACAAGCACTCAAAAATAAGAATGTTACCCAACACCACGTAACATCCAAATTAAAATGGTCAACAAGGTTCACGAAACATTTTTTGTCCAAATTAACCCCATCGTTACTCCTCCAAGTGAATCAGTTAAATAATATCCTTTACCCTGTACATTTTAATCATTTATTGTTGAAGATTAATGAGCATTGAATGTCTTGCCGATTCCTTTTATATTTATTGTATCAATCAAACTGTTTATTTAAAACATATAACTAATTAATAATTTGCTTCAAGCAAACGTAAGGTTCTAACATATTCTTTTTCCCCTTTGTTTTTTTCTATGTGATTTGACGAAAATTGATGACCTGTGCTGCTGTTGAACAATGGATAATCGCTCCCTTGCAATTCTCTCGAATGTATCGTTTAAAATATGATCACCAAATATTTAACAAACGAAACAAACCAACCAAAAACGATACTTATCATCGAAAACAAAAAAAAAAAAAAAAAAAAAAAAAAACGCGCGTACTTGTGTAGGATCCAAAGTCCTTTATGGATCAGTACGCCAATATGGACCGCAATAGTCGCGGTGGGGGTTACAATGACGAGCGCGGCCAGATAATGGATTTGATGGATATGAGGGTTGACATGGGTAATATGGGCAATATGGGTAATATGGGCAACAATCGGGGTGTTCCGGCTGGTGGTGGCGGCGGTGCCGGTGGTGGTGGTGCTGGCGGCGCCGGTGGTGGCGGTGGTGGTCGCTGGCAGGGTGGTGGCAACGATCGCCAGCGCCCAGGCCCAGGCCAAGGCCCGGAAGACTTTCCTAACAAGAGAAGGCGATATTAAATGCCAAAAAAAAAAAAAATAAACATTTGGTATAAAAGCCAATAGTTATGACTAAACCTTGTAACGTGGGTGACTCAAACTCTTTCCAAAGAGTTTTGTCGAATGCCTATCGGATATCTGGCTCTTCTTTTTCTACTTTATTTTTTTTTTGTAAGATATTGTGCAGATTGTTCACTTTGTCTTAGCGATGGTACCGACGCAATGAAAAATATATTTTGAGCTGGTCAGACGATTTTTTTTAAAGTCTAGGCTTTAAACAAATGAATTTCTTTTGAAAAGTTAGCTTAAGGTGTAGCTTTTAATGAGTAGAAAGTTTTTAAGTCCATGTGAATTTATGGTCCAAGGGTTTCAGTAGTATTTCAATTATAGTTATGGTTTTTGTATAAATCACTTTTTGCAGTAAAATTTTTTTAGTAATTGAATAAAAGGCTCAAATGTAGTTTATATCCTAGGACTTTGATTTTTTTTTCTTAGTCTTAGATGCACTATATTTTGCTCTTAATAAGCAATCAATCACTTACGTTCACAAGCATTACAAGGAATGAAATAATTACTGTAACACTTGGAATAAAAAGTCGAGGTGGAAATTGAGTCTTGCAATTGCTACAGTATATATATATTAATAAGTCGTAGCTCTAGGATGATTATTTGACAAATCTATTAGAAAATAATTATTCATACTTAATTCTGTGTATGAAATCATTTTATTGATGTAAACAAAAGTACTTTAATTAGATATGGAAGTTTTTTTTTTTTAAAGTTGTTGAAATCATTTATATTTATTCAAACTCATTATTCTTAAATAAATATTCATGTGTAATGAAAATATTGGTGTTTTTAATTGCTTACGTAGCAATATAGTTGTTGCCTCTACTTTGCTCTTCAATAACTACCATTCATGTAATTATGCACTTAAATGAAATTTGTGAATAGTAAGAATCAACTTTATTGTAATAAATGAATTAATTTTGAAATTTCGAGTAACTAAATTTTTTTATTCATTGCCTGTACAAATCATTGTGCATTTTTGGCATGATACTATTAAAGAAAAGAAATAGTTCTACTGAGAAATATTTCTTTTCATGAACTTATGTAATTACTGGTATTATTTTCAGCTTTCTTTATAAATAATAGAAGGTTAAAACCAAAAATTATAAGAAAACATTTCTTGCAACTGCAAGGTTTAGTAAAAGGTAATATAACAAAGAGTAGGTATTATTCAACTTTAAAAATTTTAGTTAATGTTTATTAGAAATATTGATATTGCTAAAGTAAAGTTTTACATTTTTAAATAATGTTGAACACCAATTAGGCAAATTTGATATTAAAAACATTTTTAAAGTGATGTGTCATTTTTTGATTTAGAATTTACGTTGCTTTCAATCATTTATTAATTTTTTCGAGTTATTTGTTAAACATTTTTTTTTGTTTTTGTGTTAATATTTTCATTAATTATTTGGCCTAACCGATACACTATAATTTTTGTTATAACAAAACTACTCGTTTTTTGCTAAGTCAATTAGCTTTAATATTGTCAACTTCATAAACTATAAAACCAATAATACAAGTTTTGGGATCATCATATTATTACCACAACTGCAGGCTGAAACTGTTGTCAATATTATTTGTGCATAGAGCACATTTTCATCATAAGTTAAATACCGAGAGTACAATACTATTATGTGGAGAAGAATCAACTTTGACAAGAATAAGAGCTTCTTACTCTTTTGAAAGTTTTTAGCAATGAACCACTCGATTTCGAGGTGAGTAAAATAAAAAAAATTTACAAAATCTATTTAATCCCTTACACCATTGGGGTGGGTTCAATGTACGTACTGATAATTTATTTTAGAATAAATTGCTGGAAAAAAATATGGTGCAACCTACGTTTAATACCATAGGGTATTTATTTTTATAGAAATATTTCTTTAGGAAATATTTGTAAAACTTATTTTACAATTATGTTGAATAAAAGAATCTAATAACCCATATTTCTACTTATCACAGCACAGATAAATTTTTGTTTTCTTCAGACAGCCAAAACGATTAACTTTCGTTAAAAATTACAGTTTTACTTGACGGCTGTCTGGGATGTATTGCTGAATCTGAGCTGCTGAATTTTATTCCTTAAGATTTTGTGGAACTCTAAAGTTTTTATAGACTTTGTCTAATTAGAAATAAAACTTACATGACCTTAAAAATTGCAATGGGGAATGATGGTAGGATTATTCTCAAATTATTTCTGCAAGTGTGCTTTTTCTAGTAGACTACAATTGCACGCCTTGAAATTTCAGTTTATTGTTGCTGTAATTTTTTAAACATCTTAGCCACACAAGGTAATTGGTACAGTTATTGACTCCTTACGTTTGAAACAGAATTTTTATTACGATTTTTCAGGTATTTGCCATCTAAATGTATTATAAATATGCTTGTAATACAATACTATTGTACTTGGTTATTGTAAAGCAGTGATTGGTTCATTTATTCTAATGTATTTAATGAAGTTATGCAAGTTTTGGTTATTCCATCACGAGTACGAACAAGACCAAAAAAAATCATGTCTTAGACATAACAAAAAAACTTAGTTACATGCTAAAAAATTAGGTATATATTTGTTTTAACATTCTCTTGAATTGTATTGGGATCAAGGGTTTTTTTTATTCTGATACACTATCTCCCAGTTACTCCATAACTCTTTTAAGTCCTGTTTGTTATTGTCTCGGTTGCAAGCGCATCAACGTCACATACTATTTTTTCAATTAAAGCATGACAAAATTAATCAATTGCGAAAAACTTAATCTGCGTTAAGCACAACATTTTAGGATTTTTGTTGTGTCGAACTTTTTAAATTCGCAGTCTTTATCAACGACTGTTATCTACTAATGCCTTCACCTAAGAAAACTGTATAATCACCCATGAAAGAAACCAACATTAAAATATGAAAGTATAATCGCATCTCGGTTTAAGCTATCTCTCATAAACTAATTATGATTCTGGCTTAAGTTCGTGAAACAAATTTTTTATTTAAAAATAGGTGTGATCTGAGTACTATACATGTATGTGTGAACTTTATTATTATTCAGTGTTTGAATTTGGTAAATGACTCCGTCTTTTAAAAGGGTTCCAGCGGGATGAGTTAAGAGGTCGTAGGTAATTGAATTAATATAGATAAGAACTCATTGAATCCAGCGGTGTCCTTGTTTACCCCTCTAACTGTGGAAAATTTCGAGATATTTGCTCTCAAAGTTTACACATTATACCTCATTAAAATTAACACCTCTTACGGAGAAACATACCTACATGTTAGATTTCTAACTGTAATGTAGGAGTTACATATTATCAGGATAATAACTTTTATAGAAAAAAAATCTTAGTTTTCAGGTGGTACCTTGCAAAATATAGGTAACCCTAGAAAAATTCGAGATATTTTGGAAAGTATTAACCCAGCCGTTGTGTTCCACTTGTATTAGCATACAGTTTTTACAGTTATACATATACATACATTATAGTGCTCGCTCATATACCTGCAGCAGTGATACCATCTGACAATTGATTTTTGTTTCGTACCAGTGCTTGCTGGAACCCCCCTTAAGTGGTCTACATGCTAAAAATTGCCTTCGACAGACAATATACAATACAATAGCATGATACCTGTATGAGTAAGTACTTACAAGTACAGAATAAGTTTTGATTAGTCAAAACCTGTTATCACATTTTAGAAAATGCTAGTTACATATTGGTAACGTTACTGAGTTTCTAGATGTCAAAACTACCTTTTTAGTGTAAATTTTACTTTGATCAGCTCCTACCTACTTAAAGCGTTTCTGGGGTAGCCAACTTTACATATTTCGCAATCTTTTTCGCTAGTATAACAATTTATCTAAACAGGTTGAATTCGCCGAAAGTTGATTGATAATAAATATGAATTGAAATTGAAAGTAAATAGGCTCTAAGTCCAATGGGTCTTAGGTCTTTAAATCTCTATATGATATTGATAAATAGGTGGTTCAATTACTTGTAATAATAGAACTCTCGTACATAGCTGAGCTTTTCTTTGCTACAAACATCTCTATATTTATAGAGGTGTCTTCTAGACTCTTTTTAATTAAACTTAGGTACTTACATATGTATATATTTTAGAGAAACTCTAACAAAATCAAATGCCTTTCAAAAAATTGTTTTAGGGCTGGGATTGCTCGTTTCGAGATCGTTTCTCGAAAGCAACTATTTTCGTGATTCGCACTCATGTTATTGCATATCTTTTATTCTTGTAAGGTACAAAAAAAAAAAAATAAATAAATTTAAGCCGTACAAAGTTGAACTGCTAATTTATAGACGTTAAGTATGCGTTAAAAAAATTTTGCAATCTCGATCTTTTTGTTGAAAAAAGATTTTGACCGACTTGAATTTTTGTTATAGTTCTGTCTTCTATTTTCGCATGCTTTTTCGTTTATTTTTTTTTGTTTTTTGTTTTTTCTTGAACAAACCATTTTTTGTCCTACAGTAATGTTAGATAACGCTTGGCGGAAGAAACAGTACCTCAGGTCGAACTGATATACAAATCTTATAGACACCACAAAAGCAATTAAGGAGGTTCGGTAGTGTTAGCGGGGGGAAATCTCAGAGAGGCAAGGGGAGGGAGAGCGTCTGGCAACGTTGTGAATTTTTTCGGCTGCTGGGACGTCGTCTACTGTTGTTGTCGTCTACTGCTGTTGTCGTCGTCTACTGATGACAGTGTACTTATTTATTTGGTTGAATTTTTTATAATTAAATTTTCAACTACAAAAGGAGTTTTTACTATTCATTACATTTCAAAGCGCGCGCCAAAAGCAGCGTTGCCAAGTCGTCTGCTGCGAGCACATTTTTTGCTGTTTTTTAATAGAAATTTGTGGTAGGGCTCTCTCAAACTTTGACAAAATATTATTTTGAGAATATTCTTTCATTTAAAAAAAAAAAAGCAAGTTTATTTAGCCGTTTTTTTTTTATGTGAAATTTAAGTGATTTCTCCATAAGCCTACATGTTAAAATATTGTTTTCTCAAGTCAATATATCTTGAAAACGGTGTGGTTAAACCCTTCAAAAATTTAGCTGTAATTTGATACTATTATCCCAAACAACATATCGAAATTTCAAAAATTTTCATCATTAAAAATTATCACTACCGAACCTCCTTAAAGCCTCTTATGTAGCAGATTCATCAAGCATGTCGTGTATGCTTATGCGTAGTAATTTTATTAGGTCTAAAATTTTTACAAATTTTATTATGCTCTCGAGGCCTACAAAAAATGTCTGTAACTAAGGATACCCAACAAAAAAGTTTTCGTAACATTACTTACATTTATATGTACATAAGGGTTCTGTAAGTAAAGTAACAGAGTTGATTAGCCCCTTTTTATTATTCATGCTTGTTTCAAACGAATTGTTCGTTACAATAGCGCACATTAGACTGCATCAAGAGAATTAAATTGAATTGAATTGAATTGAATTGAATTTATTGTTAAGGAGAATGGGTAATACGTAAACATGAACTTGAAAATTAGTTTTATCACTAACAGTGATTCCTCGTTATCAATAAAAACTAGGAACTTGAAATTGTTTAACTACGCTAGGTTGATATATTTTACCGTTTGGTTAATAATGGGGATGGGAAAGACTAAAAAAGTGTTATTTCTAAAATTCAACCATTTTTTCCGTACTTGAATTTTTTGGTAAAACCAAGTATGCGTACATAAATGAGTCAGCATTTATACAAATGCTAATGCTGCACTAGAAGATGATTATATAAATCGCATATCTGACCCTGGAAACGATGTTTCTCTTGCCTCGGTTGACTCTTGAAAAATTAGGAAATTTTATTTCAAAGATTAAAAATCCCGCAGATTGTTATCTGCTCTTTTTAGTAAAAATATTCTCTTTTACATTCAGTGACGTTATTGTTACGTTACGTCATATTTACAATGTGAAATCAGTTGCGTTATTACACTCAATTTGTGTAAGTGCTTCATATACATCCCATTGTCTATTAATCATTACAACTTTTCAATTTCACGCTGGCATAAATATACTGTCATGTGTGGATTGCTTTAGTGGGGGAACAAAATTGAACATCAATAGAATAATACTACTCAATGCATAACCAATCACTGTTGAATAAGTGATTCATAACTGTACCACTTATACTAGAACCAATTTTTTCTAAAACCTAGATTATAAATATCATCTTTCTATGCGACAAAAATTGAACTTAGGAATAATTTAACTTCGAACCATTTGCTGAAATAAAAATATTAGGACTTTTACAAAATTACTTTTGTTTTCTCTAAAGCACACATAAAATTAATTGTTTTATTTGAACGAATTCTTGAACTAATCTACTTGATATAAATTTTTACTAAATCAATTAACTTTTGTAAAGTAACAAAATCAAATCTAAGTATCGGATAAGAATAGTTTTTTTTATTTCTCTTATCTTAAAAGAAAAAAAAAAGTATAGGAAACCCAAAGAAGCTTTTCTCACTATGAATAACACAAATTTACATATGTTTTCAGATGTGGGCAGTTTGCGGTTGATCTTGTGACAACCTCATGGTTTTGAAATTCATGTAAGTTCCAAAATTTTTTTTAACAAATTTTTTTTCGCCAAAAACCAATCGTATATAAACCCCTTCGCCACGCTTGTTTGATTTATTTAATCTGCAAGTGCCATATTTGTAATATTATTGGGGAATATTAAATAATGTCCAGCTAGGAAGCATGGTTTGGTTATTAAATGCCTCACTATGTGCCGAAAGTCGAGGATACACCATTACTATTTTTAATAATTGATTCATCGTAATTTAATTTTTGTCAAGATTTTTTGAAATTTCATCTATTATAAGTTAAATTTTATGCATTTATAGGTGTGAAAACAATCTTCAAATCTTGTTCTCGATAAATATTAACTTGGGATCGAAAAAGAGCTGCCAACATTTTGGTAAGTTACAATAAGGAGTCCTTCAAAACTTTTATTTTGTGTACTAAACGACATTCGATTTTAATATGATGAGTATCTTTCGGGGCTGATAACTTTGATGTTAATAAAAATATCCCAACGTGTACTGAAATATAACAAATTCTTGAAAATAATTATTGATGTATAATAACCTTATATTTATAGCCCTTTTAAATTATTTTACAGATAAAATAATGAGGTGGAAATCCATGTCTGAAGTTCGAGGTTCCAGAAACAACGAAAATTTTCCTTTTTGTGAAAAGGTAATAAATTATAATAAAACATTTTGTTTTACCATAATTTAAAAATTTTATAAAGTGATGCTACTAACAGACTAGAGTTTCTGAATTTTCTTTGAAGACAATTTTTAATACTGACAATACCTTGTAATATTTAAATAAGTAAAAATATTAAACTTGACTAAACTAAACTTCTATTTTGAATTTCAGGTTTTTGTTTGAAGTTCAACACCATCCGTCTGAACTGATAAACTCTTCGGTAATGATTTTTATTCGTTTACTTATAATAAACTTGAACTATCCAAAATTTCTTGAAACTGTCAGATTTTAGTTTTACTCTTTCTTTTAATTTAACATGATGCTTCCTTACAGACTAGAGTTTCTGAAATTTTAAATTGAAGACAACTTATTTTACTGATTTTTTTTATATCACAATATAAATTGTTAGTTTCATAAAGCAGTTTAATTAATAATTACATTTTTTGTTTTTTTAGTTCTGAAAATGAAGCAGGTCGTTTCCTGAGGACTACAGTAATGAGCACTATCCCCAAAGTTTGTGCCGCAATTTTCGGGCTTCTTAATATTAGGTACATTTATTTTAAAATTATAATTTTAATTTTCTTAACTAATTTAAATATAATTTTATCAAAAATATTTCAATTTTATTATGATGATATTTTTAATTTTACCATCTTTCGGGGCTGAAAGTTTTGATGCGAAACCTTAATCTGATGTTGAAAATAATAATTAGAGATGATAAAACGAAATCTACATTTTTAAGAAATAAGGATTAATTTGGTTTTAGGTATCTACATTGCTGTGATAAGACGTTATGAAATCTAGCACATCATTTATTAGCAATGGTATGTATTAAAATTGAATATTTCTTTAAAATAAATTTAAGTTTATTTTTCTGATGAAAAATTGGCTAGAGTCCTGATTTCAAGATGACACTTTTCGTTCATTTCCTGATAAATTATTTAAACAGTTAATGATTATAAATACTTGAATCATTTGACTAATATACGTGAAATACATTCTGTTTCAGAATTCAACAAGCAGCTGGTGGCTGAGCAAACATTACATTTCAACTCAAGCAAAAAGTTAACAACAAATTGTTGAAAAAAAATGTATCTCACTTTTACTGTAAAAAGAATAATAAAGAGTTAAATTGCTATTACGATTGTCTTTTTTTTAATATTTGGATAAGAAAAGGAATAAGAACAAATGAACAAAGTCGATAGAGTTAGCATGGAAAAAAGCTTTGACATTTTATTGTGTAACCGCAGATAAAGCCTTATACACTTTCACACGAAGTCGGTGATGTCAAAATAATATACTTTAGTTAAAATGTACATGAATATAAATGTTAACAAATTGTGTAAATGTGCTTTGGTGAGCATCAATAAAAGATACAAAAATCGTCTCCTTGACCTGTTGCTGTAGTGATCCGTATTTTAAATCAGACGTATTTATCGCATTTTTAAAAATCTTTGCAAAGTTTTTTTATTCAAAATTTTTAAGAAAACAATATGGTCGGAGCAGGTGGAAGGAACGATTTTTGTATTAAGGGTACTTGAAAATTCGTTTGGATGGCTCTAGATTAATTTAAACAACGTTATTATAGCTAATTGTATAGCTAAGTTCCTTTCATGGACTCACCCAGGTCTACTTACGACTGTATTGGGTAAAAAAACACTTTCTTTTTGCTTGAAACCTAGAGGCTCCCACACGAATTTATCAAGCATACCTATCGTATTTCGCAATGCTATAAATAGTTAATCTAGATTTATTCACTTAATTTTCTTAATTGGTTTGGTGATTTCGGTTTAAAATAAATGATTTCGTGGTTGGTTATATTCGGTAAATTATTTTTCAATCGCGAGTAAATTGCTAATCCTGCCAACAGTTTATGCATACAGTAATAAAATAAAATTTTAAATCGAGTGAATTTTTTTCACAATTTATGTGTTCGGTGTCTTGAAGACCGTAAAATATTCAGAAGGTGACTTCGCGCGAACATTTATTTATTTATAGTTATTTATATTTTTTTTTCCTAAATCTCCACATGCCGAACAATTGGCTTTAACGTATTTTCGTGTTATACTTTTTTTTTTTTTTTA